ATTGGAGAATTGGGGAAGGGGAACAGACAAGTTGCTGTCCTTTTGTTCTTCAGTCTAGTTGTGGAGGACGTTGCTTCACTGGCCCATGTTGGTATTATGATCATTGCGCTCTTCCCGGGTGAGGCAGTCAGTTGCTGGCCGTTAGACGACCCCTCATAGCGGCTCACGGCAGCTCTCATGGCTGCCGGCCACTCATGGTAGCCCATGGCAGCCCACTGCAGCCTACGCCATCACCAGCGATTCACGTCAGCCCAGCTCTAGGTCAAGCTGTTGTTCAACATCTTAGCTGTAGAGGGCGCAGCGTCACTGGCCCTCATGTGGGATCCGAACCAGTGGCCCTGCTGCTCAGAGCTTGCGCTCCCAAGCCAACTCTCAACCAACTGAGCCACTCAGCCAGCCCTCTACGAACCAGATTTTAGAGATAAGTGTTTGGAATCCAAGAGCAAACCAAACATTCAAAATCAAAAGTTAGGCAGAATTGTAGCTCAGTGGACACAAAGGACACCAAGACTACAAATCGCCTTGATTACAGCAGGGTGGAAACTCTGGGTTATACTTCAAAGCATCTGAACTTAACTAATCGCACTAAGGGTTTCTGTCTGACAGAATGTTTATTGTGATATCCACGTTTCCTCTCCATCCCACTTGCCAACATTGTTCCTGTCCTTGAAAATTTATCTCTAACCAAACAGGATACGAGGAGACACTGAACACTTCTCTATTCTCTTTTCCATCCACACATACCTGGAATTATATCTGAGAACTGAGGAAAATAATCCATTCCTCACTTGATCTCCCTTTTATTGCCACAGCACAATCTCTCAAGTTATCATTATCTCCTTCACAAGCCTTTCCACTTGATAAATAACAAGCTCTAGGTCCCTGTTCATGCACGTTAGGTTATACAGGGTACCTGCCGCTTACATCTACACTTAGTGCAAGAGCAGCATGAAGAGGACTGGGGAAGGGAACAAGTATCACACATACTAGAGGTGGGCCATGAGCAACCTGCAAAAAGAACACCAGGAGGAAAGGCCTTGCCTTACTTGGCTTATTACAATTCTTCATAACAGTCTAATGCAGGGTTGGCAAACTTCTTTTGTAAAAGAACAGAGTAAGTACCTTAGGATTTGTGGGCCAGG